TTCCTGATGGGTCCACTTAATCCCTATCGACGTCCCAGATAGGTCCACTTAATCCCTGCAGGTCCACTTATACCTCACCGGCATACCGGATGAGTCCACTTAATACCTACCGGCGTCCCGGATAGGTCCACTTATACCTCACCGGCGAACCGGATGAGTCCACTTGCATACTTAAAGTATTTCTAAATCTCTTTAAACATTCGAAAGCAACAATATCATGTACTCAACATATCACTGAAATCATTAATATGAATTTTACTGAAACCATTAATAACAGTCACTTTCAATAACATTTCCAAAAAACCAATCTAATATTTTGGGCTCAAATTTAGAAAGGTAGCAGTTCGTAAAGACATTCTAGCATAATTGCCAATTTAATATGTATAGAAAAAGTCTTATAGAATTTCAAGAAAACGAATTGTCACAATTTATGAGATGACAATTCGCAGTTAAACATTTCACAACAATGCTATAATCAATTGCAAAAATATCAATTTTAAAATAATAAGGCAGTCATTGCATATGAAATTTACAATGTCTAAAGATTCAAAAACAGTAGAAAGAAATCTCATAATTTTACTAACAGCAGAAATATCACATTTATTTCTAATAATTTTATTTCTAAAATTTTCTAACAAAATAAATAAATATATTTATTTCTAAGAATTTACAGCATTTAAAATTTCTAATATTATAATCTTATTAAAAAGATTATTTTTCAAAATAATGAGGTCACTTGCGCATAAAATTTATCGCACCTAAAATTCATGATAATAAGCAGAAGTAATTATTTCATTTCATTTTTAAAAAGAACGGATTATTTTTCAAGATAATGAAGTCACTTACCTAAAATATTTGAGAGGGAGCTTCCGATAAAAATTCGGCTAGAGAGAGACCTCAAAATTTTTTAGGGTGGGAGTCCTCGCCTCTCGTATTTAAATTCTTAGGATATTATATTATATTCTTTTATTAAGTTACACCTCACACATGAGATGTAACCGTTAAATTACACTTTAAACGCTTAAAGCCCACGTCCTTAAGTGGACGTGGCAAGAGCAAGGTAGCAAAAGCTTTAAACCAAAAGCTTTTGAAAATAGTGAAGGTCCCTAAGGACCATCATGCTCATACGAACCATCACTTATTAAAAGTTTCCTTCTTTTTTTCTTTTTTTAAAAAAAAAAAAAAAATATTATTACATTCTTCCCCCTTAAAGAAATTTAGTCCTCTTAATTTGTGTACCTGATTACTGAAAAAGATAAGGATATTTTTCTCTAATATCGTCTTCTTGTTCTCAAGTCAACTCTTCTCTTGAATGATACTGCCATAATATACGGACCAAAGGAATCTCCTTGTTGCGCAATACTTGCACCCTTCTATCCAGTATCAAAATTGGTTGCTCAATGAAGGATAGGTCCTTCTTGAT